TTTCAAAGTTAATTGAAAAAAGTCATTTTGAGGAGCTTTTTGAATTTTACTATTTTAGCATTTTAGAGTTATAAAAATCTAATTAATCAAACACTTATCTTGATTCTTTTTAACCAAATTTAACAATTAATAATGGTTAAATAAATCAAAATTGACCTATAAACTAACTGTTTTACTAAACATGGCCTATATCTTTTCATACATATTTTTAACATAGCGATATCAAGATGTAACTGTGTTAAATTTAATTACGAAAAATAATTATGAAATTATGAAATGTAATTAATAATTAGTATGATAAAAATAAAAAAGAAATTAAATTACCATATTAACCTTATTATTAACAACCAACAAACGGAATCTTAAGAAGACTAAAGTGTGTAAAATTATTAAAATTAAGGATTAAATAGAGTACAAAAAATTACTTAAGACTAAACTGAGTAAAATCACTATAATCTATAACTATATTGGGTATTAAGTCGCTAATATTACAATTAAACTCCGTAATGCAACATATTGATGATGAAGTGATAAAGAAAGTGGGAAGTAGGATTTTTGGTGTGTGACACGATTACCCAAGCCAAGTCTTCTAGGGATTCCTTCAATTCTTAGCATGCCCATGTCTATGTTGCTACTAACAAAGGAATTTATGCGGCAGAATTCATTAGACAACCCTACCTAAGTTAATCCAAAAGTTAATTTGATAATTTTAAGGTTTCAAAAGTATGTTCAACTATTTACAAGGCTATCTTGCACTAGTACAAAATTATCAAGAGTAAAATACCCAAAATAGTCCCTCGACTATAGCTAAATTCACAAATTGGTCATCGACTTTTAATTTCAATCAATTAAGTTCTTAACTTTGTAATTTTAACATAATTTGGCCCTCTGTCTATTTGACCGTTTGTCGACTGTGATTTTTGAGGATATATATGTAATTTCATGGTCCATTGTCGATTTTTAAGGTTCTAGTTGCATTTCCAGACCGCAGTGTTACATTTGAATCTACTGCCGAAAACAATCTACCAAATCCGATCGCCTTTCTTCGTCCTCCCTTTGGATTCAATGTAGTTGAGTTCGTACCAGAGCGAAGAAGACGACGTGTTTCCAAACCAGTGCAACGTCATCCTGGAGGCCTCCACGTGCTCTGACGAGAGTTGAAGGTTCTTCTGGAGATCGTCGATCACGATCAACAAACGGTCAAATAGATGGAGGACCAAATCGTGTCAAAATTACAAAGTTAAGAACTTAATTGGTTGAAATTGAAAGTCGAGGACTAATTTGTGAATTTAGCTATAGTCGAGGGACTATTTTAAGTATTTACTCTTGATTTAATTAAGTCCATTACTTATGGACAACTCCGTCCCTCCAAACTCTATTACAGCTTATCTATAATATATATCACATTAGCTTGGTTTTCAAAAAAAAAAGTTTAATTTATTTTTTTTAGTCCTTTATTAGCTAAGTTCATCATACGAATTTCACTCATATAATGCACATTTAAATAATAATTCTTCTGATTTAATTTTCACGTAAATCAAGATTTCCTCTGCACTAAAGGTTTATATATGTACATGACAACACAATTTGTTATGTCTTTCTCTGTTTGATCTTGAAACACTCGAGATTCACTGTCATAAATATGTTCCTATATCACTTCTACTTTATCAGCTTAGATTGCCTGTCCTCTTTTTGGAATATACTATGAAATAATGTGTTTAGCTAGGTTCCTTGGACATGGACACCAAACCGCTTAATTAAAAGTTAAAGTGTTGATCACACTAAAATTTTTATGAGAGGGTATTTTGAACTCTCAATTTTTTTTAAGAAATAAAAGTGCATGATCATTTGATCGTTATGTCATGGAACCGTGTTCACCATTCATGGTGAACACGGTCTCAACGGTGTTAGTGCATAGTTATCTCTTTTTTTTTTCTTTTCTTTTTTTCTTCTTCTTAATTAATCGTGTGACTTTTCTTCTTCATTTTCACATTTCGCGGTTTCACTTTAATTTGAGGTGAGCAATGATTTCGGACATTCATAAATTATGAATCCATGCCTGCACATTCACTTTGGACCCGTGCCTACAAATTCCCGTCCGAAACCATGACTGCTGCCTGCACATTCACTTTGGACCCGTGCCTACACATTCCCGTCCGAAACCATGACTGCTCCTCTGTAGCGCAAGCTTCTTCAACATTCATAAATTATGAATTTTCTGTTATGAAATTATGAATTTTCTGTTATGAAATTATGAATTTTCTGTTTTGAGATTATTAATTTTCTGTTATGAGATTATGAATTTTCTGTTATGAGATTATGAATTTACAGTAAATTTATAATCTCATAACAGAAAATTCATAATTTAATAAATGTTTTTCTTTTATGCGATATGATTATGAATTTTCTGTTATGAGATTATGAATTTAGAGTACATTCATAATCTCATAACAGAAAATTCATAACCTGACCAAACACGCGCCGTTAACACCACATCCGCAAAATTTATTATTATTATTATTATTTTAAGTAAAAACGGCACCGTTTGGACCCGTGTTCACCATTCATGGTGAACACGTTTCCAGGGCATAATTTGCGATGATTATTCATGCCAACCAAATTAGTTTGGACAATATAATTATTGATACGTTCAATTTTAATGTTGATGGAATAATATGTTTGAACTAGTCTAAATTAAATAAATTATTATGCCCCAAATACATTTCTATAATTTAGCTAGTTAAGGAGTCCGGACCGAATTATCTGTCAAATTATACCACAGACCAGGGTCTTCCTTGCATTGTAGACTCTGGTCCAAATTAAAAATAACATTCAGATTCTGTATTTATAGTTGACACATTTTGTACTTGCAGTTGATAGTTTATTATGTGTCAGCGATTCAAGTTAGATTCTATATCTATAGTTGATATATTCTGTACCTACAGTTGATAGTTTATGTACATGTAGGTTGTAGCTATCATATTATGTATTAGCAATTATTAAATTATTTGTTTACATGTACAGAAACGATTAATTGTAGGTACATTATTTTTGTATTAGGATTCACAATGCAATATGAACCTTAGTGCATGGTATACGAATTGGAATTATCTTGGGTCCGTCCTCAGATAATAGCTTGTGGGAATCAATTCAAAATTTGGTATCAATCTAGTTGAGAGGACCTTACGTACTGGATGGACAATGAGTGTATGACTAAAAATATTGTAAAAATTACATTAGATGCCTTATTGATGACCATAACATAATATAATATGTACCCAGAACATTATATTAATTAAATATTCAATGTCCTGCTGTCCCCTTCCATTGTCCACAAAAAAAAAAAAAAATAAATAAATAAATAAATAAAAATCAATGTCCTTTTTGTTTATTCTAGACCAAACCCATCACGTAAGAAAAAAAAAAAAACAAAAACAAAAAGGCCTAAACTTGTTAGTTAAATAATCCGATAAAAAAATTTCCAAAAAATAAAAATAAATTTGCTTTCCTTATCCCCAACCCGAAAGAGCATGTGGGAGGATGTAAATCACGATGACTCAATAGGTTAGTAGACAGGGCCAAATGCTGGTGCACACAAGAAATCTACCTACTACATCACGATAACTCAATGGGTTAGTAGACAAGGCCAAATGCAAGGAATCTACCTACTTTGGACATAATTCCCACACTGCCACTGCCGAGGTTCAAACATTGATCTCTTATCTCAAATACTGCCCACTAAACCATTGAGCTAAGCCCGTGCGGGTAGTATTATGACTCTAAGTATTTGAGTCATATTATGACTTACTAGTATTGTTTTATGCGCGATGCGCAAAAAATAGGTACCCAATATTAATACACTATATTAAAATTTTAAATTTATTTAGATTTTAGAAAATAATAATAATAATAATAATAATAATAATAATGTAAATTATTTTTATAAATTTGATATTTATATTTTATGTAATAATTAACATATAACTCAAATATATAATGTTTATATATTATTATTAATGAAGAACTGAAGAAGATAAGAAAATATATGGTGGATGCATGTGCATGGTAACAATAGTGGAAAAGATAACAGAAGTTATAACGGTAGGGGTATGTTTATCCAAAATATTTTAATGTACAACCTTTATAGCATAATGTACAAAAAAACTTAACCAAAAAAATGGACATAAATTGGAGTATAACTTTCATTCACACTTATTATGTTTTTAGATATGAGCCCGTGTAGTCCCTCTAAAAAGATAACTACTTGTGTCCTCCAAAACAAAAAATTGTTGTGGGCAATAGAAAGCAAATTGTCATGGGGGTCTTGAAACTATTGATACCAGGTGAGAACTGTATAAACTGTATTTGATGAACAGTAATTACTAATATAAGAAATCATAATATGACTCAAATACATAGAGTCATAATACTACACCAGAAAAAGTTCTTATAGGGCTTAAAAAAAAACAATATTTATTATAATCTTATGTAAAACTAAATACACCACTGCCCACTACTATATAGCGTGATGGCAAGGTTGTATGTTACCATTTTAAATAAGTTGTCATAAGATTGAATCCTGTAGTTGGGGCATTGATTTTTAAAAACTAAATACACCATTATTCTCGCTAATTTACCTCAATAAGAATCAGAGTAACGATTGCATACTTCTCCCTAAATTAAAAAAGGTCCTTCATATTAAAAAAATATTTTTAAAGAATTATTATTTAAAACTAATTATTAAAAAAAAAAAAATCTCTGGTGGCTTTCTTCATCTTTTTGGCCATGGAGACGAAGAGATCGATCTGTTAGTAACTTGAAGAATCTGTAAATTAGATTAATTGAATGTAATTGGTTAATTTAGGGACTTAATTATTGTTTTTAAGTTTGATGACCTAATTGCATTATCGTGTGTAATTTGATGGCTTATTTGACCCTTATTCTAAAAAAAAAATATTTATTTATTTGGTGGTACGGATGGGAGTGGGTCTAATAAGAGAGAAGAGACATACTATACGTCGCTACCTGCCCTTTGTCTGCATACTCTTTGGTTTTCAAACGATTCCTTCAATCTGTAGAGAAGCGAAAGCAGAATTTCTACGAAGCTGTGAGAAGCTAAGATGGTATATACTCATCATCTCTTTCCACTACAAAATGAATGGCCATAGCTTCTTTCATCTCTCATCTCCCATCACCCATCTCCCAATCAATAACAGACGACAAAACAATATGAGTATTTAATCTCTGTATATATATTTATGACCCCATTGTTTTTGTTTCTTAGCTTTTGGAACAGAATATTCATCCCTGTGTTGTTCTTTTTACCCTAAAACACCAATCTTGCAGCTCTTTTTTTCCGTTCTTTTTGTTCTTTTTTGCTGGGTTAGTTAGTTTAATCTCATTCTCATTTCTGGTGCCGCAGATGATGAACAGTTATCAGACAGATGGAAAGAACTTGATGGCTTCTTCTTCTTCTTCATCAACTGCTGCTGCTGCGAGGGTTATGGAGAAACCGATTAGCCAAGAACAACCTCTGAAATGCCCACGTTGTGATTCCTCGAACACAAAGTTTTGTTACTACAACAATTACAGTCTGTCTCAGCCCAGACACTTCTGCAAAGCTTGTAAGAGGTATTGGACTAGAGGTGGAACTTTAAGGAATGTTCCAGTGGGTGGAGGGTGCAGGAAGAACAACAAGAGAATCAGGAGATCATCCGCGGCTTCTGCAGCTTCTTCTTCATCGTCCCCAGCCGCCATTGATGTCGTCTCTTCTTCATCAACCTCTCCTGCAGTTTCTTCAGCTCCACTGCAAATTCCGGCTCCAACCCCACCACCCCAGACCAAAACCCAGATTAATCCTTTGTTTTACGGGCTACCCATCAACCCTTCTTCTGAGCTCAACCCCCCATTTCAAAGATTGTTCGGTTCTAGGGTTTCAAGCAGTGATCAGAGTTATGATAACAATCATGACAGCATGATCTCTTCACCTGGGTTTTTGGGTGGCCATGGAGAGAATGGGTTTGATCCTCTTCTTTCAAGCTACCCAGTATTTAGATCTTCATCATCAATACTCACTACCCCTATTACTACTTCAACAACCACACTGGCCTCTCTGATAGCTTCAAGCCTTGAGCAACGGAAGTTCAATGCTTCTGGGGACATTACTAACAGAAATTTTCTGGGCATGCCATCTTATAATGGAGAATCAGTAATGGCAGGGAATATAATTCTTGGAAATGGGGAGTTCTTGAAAGGTGATGAGAGGCAAAACAGATTGAATTGGAACGGTGGTGGTGTTCCTATGAACAATCACAATATTCTGCAGACAGAAGGGGTGGTGAATATTAACTATTCATCAACACCATCAGATCCTTCATTTCCATGGAATGGTGGTTGGATGGATCCTTCAAGTATGGGTTCTTCACTCCCAGCCTTCTCTCATCTAGCTAGCTAGCTACCCAGGTTTAGTTTGGCTTCATCAATCTTCCTTAAATTCATTAACTTGGTTTCTTGTTGTACTTTAATTAGCCAAGAAGGTTGGCTAAAAAAGGTGTGGGAGGCCGGGGAAAAAGTGGTCAGAAATCGAGAGTTTTAATTTCCAGTTATATATTTCATAGTATATATTGATGGTAGGAGGATGGATGTGAGTGATCATGTCAGCTGCAATGAACAAAAAAAATGAAAATTCAAGCTCATATTTTTGGTAACATAGTCAAGCTTGAAGAAATTAAAGTTGCAGGATTTGCGCTGAGAGGAACCTCGGATCCTCTTCCTCGATCTCATCGGCCCCAGTTCATCATCATCATTAGATCTCAGAATTGAAGGCTACATATATATACATGTATGCATTTGAAGATAGAGCTTGAATTGGATGGGCACACAATTATTTCTAGTGAATTATTACATGTGAGTGGGTTACTATATATTGGGTTTATTTATAAGTTTCTATTTATGTACATATGCAAGCTAAGTACTATGATTATTATTTGAATGACGCGAAAAATTTAGTATCACTATTTGAGGGTGTGAATAAGCACCACTCTTATATAATAGTATGTAAAACTATATGTATCATCACACGTATTAAGTTTTGTCCTTTTTTATTTGAGCCGATCAGCTATGTGTCATCTGACTTTTAACCTTAACCAACAAAGGATCACACTTTCAAATAGTGATTACGAGTTTAGCTCGTCACCTAAAAAAACTTTATAGGTATTGCTTATGCACTTAAATATAATTGAGCATGTAAAGAATTGATAATCCTGCCATTTGATTACTATATGAATATATTATGAGTTCTCACTGTCGTACTGGGAATGCGGAACGTGGATAAAAGATCGAGATTCTTGTGCTCATTTATCCATGAAGAATAAAGTTAGAAATGGAAGCATGCTATGCTGGCGATGTAACATTTTCAGACCATTTAAAAGTGTGAATTAATGATATAATAATTTCGATCACTTCCAATATATATAATGAGGTTTAATTTTGCGTTTAAAACGGGAGGAATAGTACGTATCTACCTTGGACTGGTAGTGCTACTGCCACGTACAGCTAAAGTGGTAAGTTATAGATATTATTCCTTCACATAGCAACATTGAATAGATCGAATTGTTTCACATCTTTTAATGTGTTTTGTCTGGTGAGGCATGCAGATTGTTCCCCAGAAGTGGCCACTGCACAATTCCACTCTGTATATAGTGTATTTACTGTATTCTGCAGCTATATATCACAATCATTTATCTGGTGGACAATATAATCGATAACGTGATGGACAATATAATGAACAGTTAATTTACCAAACACCATTTTACCATCAGCTAATATTATGTTATACCCTCTAATTAACTCAATCAACTAACAGTTAACAACTATTTATCAAACGGGACCTATAATGTTAGGTTGGCATGCACAGTACATATTAAACTTCCTATTCAAATACATGAAAATAAAATAAAAGAATTAGGGTAGTGAAGATCATCGAAATGATGGTATTGTAGGGTCCCTAACTTCACACTTGAATATATATGATGAAGGAAGAGATAATGGAGTATGGGTTGTGTAACTGTGTAGGGAAGGTTACGGTGATTTGATGATAGAAAAAATTAAAGTGGCGCACGCATGGAATCATGAAGTTGTTGTAAGCTTTGCTGCTAGACACAGAATTGAACTGTCCTCATGCATCTAGCTTAGCTTTCTCAGCTCCTATCCTCCCATTGTAAATCCCCTTTAGCTTCGTTTTCTTTCAAGAATTCATGAATTAATTAGGTAGTGGTCTTTTAACATTATATGGTCACACATATACCGTACCATACGAGAGTCGCTTCTATGACCTTATAGTTGCATTAATAGTTCACTTACAAATTGTTTCACGCTACTATCTAGTTTTCATGTCTATTAGTAGCTCCACCATTGGAAGAATAATGCATGCATGCCAAACAATAATGTGCCCTGCATTGTATTACATAGAGGTTCGGAGACAATTCTAGCCAAATTGGTTAGGTTGTTTGGTTCTAACTAGTGCCGATCAGATATGGGCAGTCTAGACTGATTTATCTCCACAACGGTACGCGGAGTTTACTTAGTGCACACTATAGACCTTCTTGGCTTGAGCTGCCATTGGTCAATTATGGACAATCTAAGTTGATTACTTCCACAATATGATGTTTACTCAATGCACAATCATAATGGTTGCGAGTTTCCTTCTACACTCAAAACAATAATGTGTCCTAGCTAGTATTGCTAGTGTTGGAATGATGCAAATTAAAGGAAAGATAACCCTATAAAGTTGTGCACCAGTAGTATTATTTTAAATCTTTCTTTTGATGAAAAGGAAACCTAAAACAACCCCATTTCCTAACTAGCATGCATTAACAGGTTTAGCATATAGAGAATCCCAAGAAACGCATCTTCTTATCTGGAGCAAATTGGAATAAAATCTCGTGACAATAAAATACTCAAAGCTAAGCCACCCATCAGGGTTAGTTGCAGGAGCCCTCTGATCTTCCTCTATACATATATAATGGATTCATGAACAACCACAATCATCATATCATACCAAAGGAGAAGACATGTTCATGCTGCAGCTCCCCTGCTGTTCATGTTTCTGCTTCATCAAGCAGAAAAAGAGCCATTCAAAGGAGAAGAAGCCAAAGGGGAAATGAAGCAGCAGCTCAGAGCCCTGCTGGAAAGAGGGCACTGATATGATGGTTTCCTTCATTTCCATTTTAGCCTTTCAGATATATATTTATGTCAGATTTCTGTTTGCTGTCACATAAATTGTGAACTTGACAGTATTGTCTGTCTGTCTTCACATGTAAAACCATCTATTGATGGAAGAAGCTTCAACTAACTGATCTTCAATTCCTGTGTTTATCCCCATCATCTTTGGGTGCTAATTAAGCCTATTTCCTGCATTTGATGTTCATATGTTACACCATAACTTGAGAAAATGCATTGCATGATATCTCATATAAAATGAATAATTGTGAACTGGGGCGACCCCAACCAAGTTAGTCAGGTTGTTGACTTGGTAGCCACAAGAGGTTACAAATTCGACTCCCAACTGGAGCGGCCTATTGGCCTTCTTGGTTTAAGCCGGTCAGCTATGAGTAACCTAGGCTGGTTTACCTCTGCCACAAGGCAGGTTTATATATCCTGTGCACCCCATCACTCAAAAGAAATAATTGTGGACTGCCTTTACAACTTGAGAGCATACATTCATCTTAGATATACAAAGGTACAGCATCCCGGGAGTGCAACAAGAACATATCTACATCAATACATCATTACATGTGAATGCAGCTAAATTCCCCGTAATGTAACCAATTGAAGATGTGATGAATGGTAAATTGCAATGTGAGGCACATAGTCAAAAACAAGTTCATAATAACAAGCAATAGTATGAGAAGTATGATCTATTAGACTCAGTTCCCCATAAAAGATGGAGCTCTATATTGAGATTCAGGCTGTACTTGCCATTCGCTGTCTTTTAGATAGTGTGGCAAAATTGGTTGCTCGGGGGGTTTCAACTCCATACCGGCACCAAAAGAATAAGGAGACGATCTCTGGAAGCTAAGCAGAGGCTTATCCCGCCTTTGTTCATCTACACTGTACATGAGAGGACTTGGAAGCAATTGTGGGCTTTCCAAATATACCATTGGGCTTGAAACCAAACGGTTTCCCCATTGGTCTAGAAAATCAAACCTGGCAACATTAGTTGTACTCAAGTTCCCAAGGGTAGTTGGTGCGTTTACGTGAGAAGGCCATAGGTGATTATTGTTGTTAACCCGCTCAACATTTTGAGTGTTCCTATAGTGATAGAGCCATTCAGAAGAACTCATCCCAATCTGTGGTGGGTATCCATCAACAAAACCGGGAGGTCCTGCCACAAAATCAAATGGTCCACGAGTTGTTAACCGGTTTGAGTAAACACTAACTGGTGGTGCACCAAGAATACCATTGCCTTCCTTAGTTGCTGAAGGGCTTTTGAACTCGGGAAAGCCCAATGAATTTCCTTTAAACCAAGAAGCATCTTCTGGCAACAGTGGGGCAGAAGGCACCGGAGTTACATAAGGAGTGTCAGAAACATGGCTAGAACTGGTTATGGGATCTTTCGTTTCATTGATGGAAAGGTTATTGAAGGATTGTGAGGCTAATTCCTCGATAGGGCTTAACTCGTGCTTATTGAAACCCCTTACACCTCTTTCTTTTCTCGAACTTCCACTGTCAAGGACCCAAGCATTGAGAGATGGAGGTCCAGCAGGATAAGCTGCAGAGTCCCTCAAGGTAGGCTCTTGTGGCTTGAATGGCTTAGTATACCTAAAATTAGCGGTATCAGGGTAAAAACTTAAAGGATCAACACCTGTCAGGTTTTGCCCGGTGATCAAAGATGTGGAACGACGTAAGGATTCATCTGAAAGAGTTGTGACTTCCTTTAAGCCTTCAACAGAGAATTGATCACTACCGGGGGTGGATGTATATATCGGTTCTGAATTATGTCTCATGATAGGCTTAAAGAGAATCACTTCTTCCTCTTCAGCAGTAACAGCCACGTCTTCTTTCACTTTATCTGGACATCGGGATTTCACTGTGTAGAACTTTTTCTCCAATTCATCATACATGATCCACTTATTCGAGTCCCTGGACCTACCCGAAAGTTTTTTTGCAGCAAGAAATATTCGCCATGACCGACATGTACTCATACTACTGAAGTTGTCCACACATTCCCGATGACTTGTGAAATCTAGTGTCATGTGTGCATGTGCCAATGGATCAAAACCCCTAAGCTCATAGTCTTCCCAAAGAGCAGTGTAGTCCAGAGAAATTCCATTGTCACTGAGTTCAAGTCGGTTCAGAAGATCAGAAAAAGCACCGAAAAAGTAAGACATAGAACTCCTTACCCTTTCATCTGCAGCATACGCTTCTGCTCTTTCAAGTGTGTTCACTAACCATTCAGCAAACACCAACACAGCGGGTAAGAGTGGACATACTTCCGGATGGCTTCCTTTCAGACATCTCTCGATAAGACGACCAGTGCAAATGAAGATAGCTGCAAGTGCCAATTTTGTCAGATCAGACTCCTTGTTCTCTGCTTTCATCACCTCCCCTTCCCCACTTTCAGTCAGGCTATGGATGATATAGATGAATACGGTGACGAGTTGAAGGGCACGATATGGGCCGCTTCTAGATGGTTCCATATGCTGATAGGAATCGAGTGCAGCCTTTAGTTCTTCATCGCCTAATGCCAACAGAGCTTCCAATTGTCTCACAGTGGAGGCTAGCGTGTGGGAGAAATCCTCTAAACTGCATTAAGAAAATGGACATTTGATATCTAATACTCAATGTAGTTGCATCAATACAAGAAATGTATAATATTTTTCAATATGTACCTGGATATCACAAGAAAGAAACTTATCAATCTGACAAACAGAGGCCATATATCTGATTTTTCCGAGGAAACACTTCCATTAGATTCCAATTTATTGATGTTTGAAGAACCAGAGCTTGGTCGAGATACAGTTTGCAAGGAAGTTTTCTCCGATGGTTTTAGCAAATCAATGTACGCCTCATTGGAAAGGGAATGGAAATGAGATGACCTGTTCTGAGGGAATTTAAAAAGTAATGACAAATTAATCATTGAAGTCCAATGGAATCACTACAGCCGGGGAAAAACGAGACAAATTTAGTACCATACGCTTATAGTTTTAACAAGCTTACCTCCTCAAAGAGCAACATGAGGTTATTCCAGGCATCAGGAAACGGCTCCTTCACAGCCAAACTTCTTACACAGTGATACAAAGCAAGGAATGGATCGCTAATGTACGTTGCCAAGAGTGCCAGCTGCAAACAAACTTTGATTATAAATATATCACTCTCCAAAAGCGATCTTATCAACTAGTTATACCCTCTAATTAACCCAATCAGCTAACAGCTATCAGCTAACAGCCATTTTACCAAACAGGGCCATTATCATATTGCCACATTTCAGCAAGCATAGATTAAGGAAAAGCATTTCCTTCAAAATCTGGAAAACGGTATGAACACTACCTGATTATGGGGGTTCCCGCTATCTGGCCAAATCCGGGATGCTTCCAGGTAATACGCAGCAGAAGCTGACCACTTGCAGGCATCGGGCTTCTTACAAAGTTCAGTGTACCTGGCTAGATCTCCAAGACAAACTAGAAAGCGATGGCAAACATATTGACACTGAGGGAATTTCAATGGAAGACCACAGCTTTTCCTCAGCTTTTTGACCAAATCTTGGTAAAAATCAGTCGCTTCAGATAGTAACGACTTGAATCCTTCCATATGTTTGTCAACGTCTAGATGGGAATTTGTATCCGACTCTGAACCTTCACTTTTCTTTTTCTCAGCATTAGCTTGTCGAATCCTTTTGCGGAACTCATCAATGTGCTTATAGTGAAGCTTCCATAAAGAGTACTCAACCTCTTGAAGCCCCAAAGCTTCATAATCATTCAAAATGATATTCTCATAGCTGGAACGGGCTTTGTGATAAAGATCTTGGACATCTTTATTCAACAAACCTTTAGAATAGATTGAAGCCAACAATTGTTTCTCTGTATCAGCAATCTGGAAGGTGGGGGTAACAGAAAAATCAGTGACTATGCTATAATAACAAAATGTAAAGTAAACAGGAAAACTGGAAATCATCTTCAAGATCACCTCAAGAAAAGTACTCAATTTTTCCTTCTGATCTTTGAACGTTGTAGCTTCATCGATGTTCATGATTACTGTGAATTAAGTTTAAACAAACTTCTTCAACTAATCAATCTCCTCATCCGTGACTTGGACGAATGTACAGACCTGTATAAGAGGATCAATTGCACATTAGAATGGTTCGGTTTCAACTGAAAATGATGGCATCTAATTACAGAAACCATGGCAACTAGACCATTGCCTCCCAAATTTGGGTGCCTAAAATCACATCACAAGCAGGTTTAATATTATCTAAGGTACTTGATCAATAAAACCGGAAAAATTAAAATTAAGAACAGTAAATCAAAAACACCCCATCTATCTGTGAAATTGTTTGTCTTCCTCTAGTAATTAATTCCAAATAAGAGCTGCAAAGTCATGTATAAAGTCAACCAATCTATCCCAGGCACTGGTCCTTCCACCTATTGGGCGGTTGAGTCAACTTGATTTACCACTCCACTATATTGTCGGGCTGGGATGTGCGACGAGGCCGGGAATTTCGTGTTTTGTGGGCAAGTCAACGAATTTGAGAAGTCTTTAACTTTATATCAGTATATCCTAAGCCAACCAAAGTACAAGAGAATTGATACCAGCAAAAAAATAAGATGCTGATCACCATCATTCTTGAATATCTAAAACAGAGGGCTTAAAAGAACATATTCTTTGAAATTTGAACCGACCATATCAATATCCATACGAACATGGTGCAGAAAATCCATCAATCCAAGCATATAAAACCCAAGACACATATGGGAAGATCACAGTAAACTGGGCAAAGATTACAAACCATGAACAAAAAAGTATAAGCAAAAAGAAGCAATTTTTAAGGAAACCATACTAAAGAATAACAAAATTAGATAACTTTTCTGCTAAAATTAGTCTCAGAAGCATCAGAGAGCATAAAAAGCATTAACATGATCAGAAAGATTAAGTTTTGTGAATATGCCCATGAATACAAGAAACTTAAACAATTACCTTGCAGAAATCACAGCAAAATCTTGAAGAACTCAGGAACAAAGATGAATCCTTTGATGGAGAGAGAAAATTCAAGAAAGAAACAGCAAAGAGTGAAACTAACAGGTTTTTGTTACTAAATTGTTTTTTCGTTGTGGAAACAAGACAAGGCAGGGGTGGCTGGTGCTGACTGATGAACAGTGAAAAGACTATAATGCCCACTTCTTTTCTTCTTTCAGTGCCTTTGCCCTTGAATCAGGCAATTAAAAAGATGCTAAACCGTCAACAATGGGCAATTGCCTAAATCATCATCATCGTTTTTCATCTGTTATTTTCATTGTATAGGACGATCTGTCCCTAGTCCAAGGAAAAAAATCCAATACAGAAGATTCACTACTTTTCACCAACACTATTATTTACACTTTTTTTTTTTTTTTTTCCATTACCACTGTGGGGAGCAACAATGGGGCAGTGCCTGCCCTGTTTTTTTCTTTTACTAGTACTAGTATTAATGTGTATAAGAATTTTTAAATACCATTTCAAAACAACGTTATTTTTAAGTGTATATATATTTGTATTACCTTTTATTACATGAACTTTTAAGGTTCACTTTTCATGTTATTCGTGATTGTGCCTCTAACATCACAAATCAAGTTTTGATCGGTAGCAGCTCAAGTCAAATCTTTCTCTACACTTATAGTACAATTCCAAGACAAAATTGTTTGGGTGGGGTAGAGGAAAATTGATTTAGTGTTGGTGACTTGGACACTAGGTGGCTTCTTTTAAATGGTAGCATTCATGATTTTTAAACTTAATAACAATAGTAGAAATGTTTTAAGTCAATAATTCTTGAAGAGTCAGAATCATAATTAAATACATTAGTCTACAATTTTGACCAAATAAGAGAACTAGAGTTTTAAAAATAGGACAGAATTATTTTTTAAAAGATAAAAGATAAAAGAAAAATAAATAAGTATTCAATCTATTTAATGGTTATCTTAACTGCTGTATATGTAATTTTTAAATATAATGAAAGAAAATTATATATTTTTTATTTTTATTAATCTTATTTAAAAGATACTACAAGTAAATACAATTATGTTTAGTATTTATTTTAATAAAATTGGGGTAACATTTTTTTGAATACTACTAATTAGTTAATATTGACTCCACTAAAGATCAAATTCATGATCTTTCATTTAGAAGAGTCATTTCATGTCGCTAGACCATAAGCTCATTAGTATAGGGGTTAACATTGATATAAGTAAAAACAAATAATTGAAAAGATTTATCTTTCTCTTTTATTTCAAGAGTCGAAGAAGATTGTGCTTTGGACAGACCACTCATGGCCCCATTATGAAAGGAATTAGCGGTGTTCTTGATTAATGGTGGGGTCCACTCTAATTTGAACAAAATAATACTATATCCATTTCTAAATGGAAAATTATAAATGGATTCAATTCATGGGAGTAGAATTTTTGTGTATGTGTATTAATTTTATTGGGGGGGGGGGGGGAGAAAAGAAGGTAATAAAACCTGTAACTCACTTTATTTGAATTAGGGGTGTAAATGAGCCGAGCGGCTTGGTCAAAGCTGGGTTCGAGCTCGGTCAAAATCGATCTTGAGTCGAGCTTGAGCGGCTCGTTTAGTAATCGAGCTCGAGTCGAGCCTAGATATTCTAGACTCGTGGCTCGTCGAGCCGTTCGCGAGCCATATAATATATAATATATATAATACATAATATAATATAATATAAATAATATATAAAAATAACAATTAGAAATTAAAATTTTAAACTCAAAATCACTAAAAGATTTTCTATTATTTATGTATGGATAAAACAAAGTAGTTTGAATTTTAAATCAAAAGTATTAAATAAGTCAAATTCAATGTCAAAATTGAACTCGAACTCAAGCTCAAGATTGAGCTCGAGTTCGAACTCGAACAATCGAGCTGCTCGAGCCGAGCTCGAGCAGCCCGAAAATTACCGAGCTCGAGCTCGAGCATCAGTCCTCAAGCTCGATCGAGCTCGAGCTCGAACTTGAGCCGAACCTCCATTCGAGCTCGGCTCGGCTCGTTTACACCCCTAATTTGAATGAATCAATGATGACATGTAAGTAAAAAGTAAAAAATAGAATAAAATGTAGAATTTGAGTATATGTAGTATTACGTACTCTTTTAAATCTACATATTAATTAAAAATATCAATTGAGTCGATCCACTTGATTCTAGGTTCCCCGCTTATATCATTGAATTAATCAACTTACTTTTTTTTTGAACAAAAATTTTATTTCCCTACTCTTAAAACCTTAGGTCATTAAGTTCTCATTTGTCTTTGCTCCTCATCATTTCTTTTTAATTTCTCTTATGATTAGTTTTTCTTTTAAACTTTTAATTATTAATTTGAAGCAAGATGAGATAATAAGATATTATAAGAAGGAATTATTTATTGGTTGACACCTAGCTAGCTTAGCTATGTGGCCAACCCCTAAATTATGCATAATAAACAAAATATAAAAGGCAAAATTATTAGGTGTGTTATCTGTCACGGCTATAGGTTGCCCTCTCTCCAATCAGACACCTCCATCTCATCACCATATCGTAACTCTGCAAGCAACGCATGAAATTTTCAAAGCAAACAAAACAAAGAAAAATAAAATAATAAAAAATAAAACGGCATTGGTCAAATGCCATATATCCTATGAAAATGCTCCTTGTTCTTTATGATTATTAGTACCAAATATTATATTAAATAGCATTGAATTTTGAAGTACATATAATTCTTTTTGAAACAAAAAGAATAGTGAAAGTATATATGATTAGCTACAATTATCAGGACCCTTCTTGATTGACGGATGTTAAGTATGCATGTTCTTCTTCATAACTTAACAAATGATAGAACGAGGTTCTTCAATAACCTTCATGCCCTTTTTATGGCAAAGTGAAATCTCAACTAAAAGATTAGTTCTTTTACATACTTCGATTCATCAGCATCCCAATGTCTCACAATCACCCTACTCCTAGTAACCTACCTATTGGGCTTTGTGGATATTGTCAACTCTTAAATAAAATTTTATATTAAATAATATGGAGCATCGAAGTATAATGTATTATAAATGCAACATTATTAACTATTATAAATAAATAATTTTTGAATTAAAAGTTAATGATATACAATTATTATAGTTATTAAATACATGACTTGTTATAAAAAGTTTAGAGCAAGTGGGCAAGTGATTGTGACTTTAGTTAAATCAAGGGTCATTTAGTTGATGGATTTGAGTTTGAAAAAGTTGTATCAAAGTTATCAAGGAAGTTGAAGCCTTTGGACAACGAACAACTCAATGGCTTTCCTTATTAGTCTATTTCTAACCTATGTCGCTCATTTAAAAAATTCTTAAAATGTTACTTTAATTAAATATTTAAATATTTATATGATTCTTATATTTGAATGTCACGAATTCGTTGCACATAATTTATTATGTAAAAGTACAAAATTCACTATTTTTTTTTATTACTTAAAAGTATTTCTCCAGTTGATAGTCAAAAAACTAATATCCGTCCTTATTGTTAGTCAAATGATCTGTTCCATTCACATGGATGGAGATTATATCTCTAATCTCATGCTTAAGGAACAAGGTGCTAGACCACCCGCCAACCATGTTGGTTAGTATAAAATTTATTATGCATGAGCAAATATGAGTATACCAGAAGTTGAACCAAGCTATCCCTTTTTATCATCAAAAGTGTGGTCACTTTCAGCATCTACTCATCCACCGACCAAATTCCACTAGAAAGTTCAAACATTTGTTCTTTTCCGAGAATAGTGAAATTGAGAACCATGATTGCAAATCGGGCTTTTATTCTTAGCTTTCCTCTCGTCTAAAGCCCGTAGAGACGACCCATTTCATCAAAGTGGTCTTGCATGAAAAGTGCAAAGGACGCCCAAGCCCAATTAGACCATATATCTCATTTAGCCCGAAATTCAAGGCTGCATCGGGCTGATTCGGCCCAAAAAATTGAGATGCTCTCATTCTTTTCTTTTTTTTTTCCCCCTTCATATTCAAGTAACATTATTACAAAGATTAAAGAGGGCAGTCTTTTTTTTTTTAATGCTACTAGCTCTATTACATTGTAGTATTGTTCATATACTTTCTCAACCTACTGAAACACAAAGAGACACAAAGAGCTAATAACGCCTCCACTGAGACTCAAACTCACAACCTTCCAAATGGAAGTCCAACCTGGGTACTATTGAACCACATAGTCATGGTTAAAGAGGGCAGTCTAATTGGCTTAATAACTCAAATAATGTGTCCATATGCCCAGGCTTACTAATATTTGTAAGACTAGTAGACCTAAGCCTATAACACTGGTGCCATAAGTCAATCGTTATGCTATATATAACACGGTTGCAAAACGACGCCGTTTCATTTTTAAAAAATCCCGTTTGAATTGACGTTAACGGCATTAGGTGGTTTCCTTTCGTATTCAAATAGTATGATATATCCATAATTTCATAACTATATATCCAGAATTACATAACTATATATTCAGAATTACATAATTATATATTCATAATTTGACAACAGTACATTCAGAAATAATAATTACACATTCATAATTTTATATCCATATTTCATAATTTCACAACTAGACATTCATAATTACATAACTCCATATTCAGAATTCTTAAAGTGCTTGTTCACAGAGAACTATATCCATAATTGCATAACTACACATTCATAACTTCATAACTATATATCCACAACTTCTTAACTATATATTCAGACTTGCATAACTATATATTCATAATTACACGTCGATTGGAGTTTTTGTAAAAAATAAAAAATAAAAATAAAATAAAATAAAAAAATTGATTGGTAGAGTTAAACGGTGCCACTAATGACACCATTACTCCATTATAGTAAAACAGTGTCGTTTTGCAACCGTGCATGATGCACACAGTTACACAGCATAATTTGCGGCCATAAGTCGTCTTAGCTATTTGAGAGTACTATGGCACCACTTGTCCATCCAACTAGAAAATATCGCATTAGCCCACTTGTAAGGCATGACTATAGGGAAGTTAAAATCTTATATAAATAATAATAGAGATATTGGAAATGGTCTAAAATGAAGGCCCAAGGCCCGATAAGATGACTCAAATGAAGATAGATGAATTGGACCAACATATGTGACCCGGATCTAAAATTGGGGACCTGAGACCCAAGTTTGGTGACCCTTGGCTGGCCTCCGAAGTCAGTTCTGGAGGGGTAGCCATTCTCTCCTCGGAGCCTGCCTTTGGGTTTAGAATGGCAGGCTTTGACCAGTTCTCGCAGTCTAACGCGTGAGCCTTGACTTGATCTGTTGACCCACTATATTTTTAGGAGTTAGTTGGGTCTCTTCTTGGTATAAATATTGCATTGTCTTAACTTAGACAATCATCTTATTCTTACACAATATCTTTTGTAACACTTTTACATCAATCTATAAAATATTGTTATTATTGAATTATACATACCCCGCGTCAATTTATTCCATCAAATAACTAGTCAAACTTATGTATTAGGACCCCCTATCTCTCCTTGTAAAATTGTTCAACCACCAAAAATTGACCATTATATTATTTCAATCTAATTGTTCGTGGCCTACTGGCCTTACAATATCTTAATCATACTTAAACCAATAATAAAACAGACACTGACATTCTCTGTCTCTATCTTTATGTGTGTAAACATAGACTCCTATCCTCAATTTAATTTTCGGTAAATTAAATAACATTAGTGTTGATTCCCCCTCCCATCCCACCACAAAACATTAATATTTAAGGTTGGGGATTCAATCTTTTGGGAAGAACATTAGTATTAGCAAACATTAATATTTAAGAGTTGAGGAAAAAAACATTAGTGTTAGCAAACCAGAAATTAACTAACGTACGGTGCTCTTATGATGATGCGAATAATTTAATCTCCAAAGAGTCAAACCACTTCCGAAATTCCATGTTTCCTGCTTACTAACCCTCCATCTTCCTTTTAATGCGTCGTAAAATATTATTTACATTTTAAAAATATCCCAAATTTATACTTTTTCTATATAATGTATTTAAAGTTTAAAAAAAATCATAATAGAATAATTGAGTGAGTAAAATATAATTTTTGTATCACAATTCTTACAACACCTTCTTAATCGTGGATTATTATACTTGTACGAAACTTCCTTCTTACCCAAAAAAAAAAAAAAAAAAAAAATTATTTAATTTTTTTTAAGAAGCTGTGTCTAGTGACAGAATGACAACTAGGTATGATGGATATATTGACTGAAATTTCGATGGTTCAACTTGAAATCGTCCAACTAATTACTATGGCAATTGCATATTTAATACGTAATGATTAATTTAAAACAGAAAAGTGTCAGAATTAGTGGCACAGAGCCGTCGCTTAACTCATGTTGAGTTGACCCTACAAAAGTTACTGTACAACTCTTCACAATTTGCTTCAAAATGCAAAAAAAAAATAATAATAATAATAATAATAAATAAAAAAAAAATCCAATATTTCTAGAAAAAATTCGGTGAGTTTTCATAAATTATAAAATAATACAATTTATTTGAACGTGTTGAAGAATAACTTATTTAAGCTACATCCGTCTCACATATCCTTGTCCGTGACACAAGTCAAATTGTAGACAATTGGGTGTATAAGTATTACAATTTAATTATAAATATTACAATATTTATCATTGATAACAATCAATTTTACTCTAAATAGTATTATAATTTCACATATAAATATGATTTATTTTAAATTCAAATTAGTATTAAATTTTTTACAATTTCTTTCATAGATAACATTCCACATATAAGTATTATAATATTTACATTAGAATTACACTTTGTAAGTATCATAATTTCAGGTATAAGTATTACAATATTTATCATTATTAACAATCATTTTATCCAAAATAGTATCAGAATAGTTTTATGTAATAAGTATTATGATTTCTATCATAAGCAACAAAACAATTATTCTAAATTCAACCCGTCTCACAGATTAAGATCCAAGTCTCAAACAAGTGTAACACTATAATTATCACCGAACTGTGGAGTCTTAATAGGTCAAATTTTCCATGTTGATAAGTAGTTGGTAAAAACATTTCATCAATGAGATTTTGAGATTTGCATTAATTATCACAAAGAGATGTCAAATGGAAGCAAAGATGAGAACAGAAATTAAAGAAGATGGATGGTCAACAATGGCGGATTGAATATTGCAGCAGCACAACTGTAAAAAGTTGAAACAGGACCCTATCTAGAAGATGGACATTTGATGATTGTAAAAGCGAAATGGTGTGGCCAAACAGAGCACATGTAACACTCAAACTCGCCATCAATGACTCACCAACCATTGGGACACAAAGTCCACAAATCCTAATTATAACAACATATACTCCAACAAAAGAAGCAAACACAATCACATTCAGACCGTGCAAAAGACAAACAGTTACACCCTGTCTCTCCGAGTTCATGCCCATGGTCTGATCTGGAAAAATTTTCACCGGATCTAACACACAACCTCGAGTTCTTTCAAAAACTTTGCTACCCAAAGCAGAAAACACATTTAAGAAAGATTTGAATGTATAATTAAACCGGAACGTTTATCTTGCGAGTCAAGAACACTCGTTCTACATGTGTCCTCAGTCCTCGTGATCATGGTTTGCTAACACAACTTGATCATGTGTACGAGGTGACTTCCCTTCATTGTACGGCATGAGAGTCTTGTGTGAGAAGGATGATTTTGTAAAACCCAAACGCCGTGACTTCTACCTTGCCTTTCCTCACCCCCTAATTTCAACTCTCTCCTTTCTTTTTCCACGCCTTTCATCATCACCAGTCCCACTCCCACTGTCTCTATTCATTTGGCATCCCCACCCCTCCTTTGAGTCAAAAAAGAAAGTTGAGTGTGTTAGATAACAACAACAGATAAAATATAAAGATAAAGAAGAAACTGCCTTTGCATGATTTTCTTACAGCAATTCAAAGCTGGCATTAAAAGTTCCCTGGACTTGCATACCAAGAGGGCTTAAAGGGCCCTGCATTTATCTCTCTTTGGTCTAAAGTTTCATATCTAGTGGACCCCAACCTTTCAATGGAACCCACTTTTGGGGAATTCCTATTTCTTATGGTTGAAACTTTCTACCTGTTTCCATTGCCTACCCAGTAACTACAATTTATTAATACATCTATTTGACTAACTTTATTGCAACGGATAGGTCCACGTTCATAAAACGCCACTGCTTTAAATAGAAACTCCAACTTGCAATAGTTGTCTACACTTTGTTCTAACATGGAAAAGTATGGGTGAGAAAAGCGGTACTAAAGGGCTGATGAAAAAGCTATGCTAGTTAGTTAAGGCATGGAACAAACAACAAATTCATTCGTGACCTTATCTTTTGCTCGGGATGAGCACAAAGTGCAGGATCACTAATCCCACATTCAACTCATGTAGTCATGTGGCTTAGTCTTCTCTTACTATCTTTACTCCATGGAGAAGTAAAGCTAAGCACCTATGTGCGGTTTAGGCACCAAAGGCTTTCAAGTAAGACCTGAAAATTCAAAGCACTTATCGACCAAACAAGTACTGAAATTCCGGTTTTGGAGATTAAGACTTAAGACCCTCAAAAAAGGTACTAATGTTGGGTTTCTATATCAGCAGAAACCAATCAGTGGCAAAAACAAGTACCAAGAATAGATTTGTATGCCGGGAAAAGCCTATTTGCAGTGTTTTTGCAGAATAGGGCATATTAACAAGTACTATAATACTCCACAGTAAGCAACATAAGAAGAAGAGTAAAATGAAAAATCATTGGATTCTTACAATCAAACATCATATGCACTAGTGATTGCCTCATCTAGACATCTTTTTCCTCCCCTTTCACAAAGACAACAAAAGAGTCAAGATTCCTTGCCCATTCCTCTACTCCTCCCTCGACAGCTAGGCCCATTTCCTCATCCCACTGATAGCACCCCCTCTCCTCACTGTTCACTCATGTGAACTTCCTTCAACTCTAAAAGTACTGTACTTCTTTTAGAAAATAATTCTCAAAATTCAATTCCCAACTTCCCTTCAAATATAGCAAGCAAGATAGTAATGAATTCAGTAGCAAATTCATCAACTTTAACAGAAATTCAGTGAAGTAAACTGGAAAAGATCAGTCAAACCAGTGTGAAGTTTCCATGGAAGTTCATCTGCGCTTACAGACAAGATTGATCTTGTGTTTTTTTTTTCTCCATATTTCTCCCAATTGATATTGCAAAAATACATGGAATAATATCACAACATTTTTGGCTCATTAATTCCAATTCATATATATGTGATTTACATATAAAGATCATCATACATCGAATGAAATTCGACTGAAAAATTCAACCCAAAAAAAAAAAAAAAAAGACAACAAAAGGCTCGCTTAAGAAATAGAATTGGCAGAACCTGAGACTCTAGGTGAGGTGACCGGAAATAAAGGCAGGAGTCGGGGCTCCGCATCCCTCGGAGTGTTCGCCGGGGACGGGTGTAAATAGAACCCCTTTTTCGCTATTGCCTTATCTTCAGCTTCCATGTTCAAATTGGGGTCAGCGCTCACCGTGCTGTGCGGGGACCTGTTAAACGGGTCGGGTATCAGTGGAGTTACCGGGCTCAGCACCAGCGAAGGAAAATCGAGTATGCTCGGCGACAGAATCTCAGGCGTTCCGATTCTGGGCGAACCCGAGAACCCGCCTCCAAATCCGGGTTTGCTGGCTAATCCGGGACCCAGCGGGCTGATTTTGAAATTCTTCAGGCTGTTTCTCCTCTCATACAGCTTGGAAGCGGATTTCTCCTTCTTCGGCCCGGTTTTGATGGGCGGGATCGGGTTGCGGGCGGGTTCGTGCTTAGTCGAACCCGCCTGCTTAGCAGTCTCAGAGAGCCCGGTGAGCATTTGGACTACTTGCTTGAAGGAGGAAGTGTCAGCTTGGACGAAGGTAGTCGGGTACAGGTTGTTCGGTTCGGATCTGGTAATGGGCAATACCGGCGTCACCTGAGGTGGCTGCTGAACCGCCGCCGCCGGCGACAGAAGCGTCGGGCCATTGCCGCTCACGGTGCTGCTCGAACTATTGGCGCTACGGTTATCAGGGGAAGAAACTAGAATTGGGCTATGGTTCTCTTGAGGTCTCGCTGAGTTCTCCATTGCTGAGAAACTATTTCTTGAGAGAGAGAGAACGGAGACTTGTTTCTAGTCTAGAGAGAGAAAGCAAATGGATTCTGCAATAAATAAAGAGAGAGAGAGAGAGTAGAGAGAGATTAGGGCGGGGAGATTTGAAGAAACAGCAAATGAGAAGGCGAGAAGGGAGAGGAGAGATCAAATCACTTTGTTACTTTCTTCAGTTTGGTAAGAAATGTTTTGTTGGGGGGACTTTTTGGAACTGTCACGCTCTCTCGTGCGCGTGACCATCAATGTTTTCGGCGGCGGCGACGCGGCGGTGAAGGGTGGTGTTGGTGGTTTTAGCGGCTGTGGAGATTAAACAAACTCCAACTGGTAGCAGGGGATTGGTGGCGATTGGAATATCAGCCCAAAGAATTTGTCAAACAAGTTTCAATACAAGCCATTGACTTGAAAGGGCCCTTGAAAATGAAAGCTTATTCACGCCACGTTTCATTATTTATTTTTATTTTTTTGGAAAATGTTTCATAATTATTAATTCACTTACACTCAACAAAGAGCAAAGTAATAATGCAAAAAAATAAAGAAAAAAAGGGTGAAATAAATCATCTAAATTGAACCAAAAATACAACTAAATTTCTAACTACAAATGTTTTTTATAACCCTTTATATTCACAATAAAATGTAAATGAGTTCTAATATAACCTATTCAAGTTGAAAATTCTATTTGCACCACCTTATTTACTATTTACACCATCTATTTAATAGGTGTAACAGCTTTATAGGTGGTGTAAATAAAACAGTATTATTTGCACCACCTCATTAAATGTAATCAAACATTAATATTTAATATTTAATATTTATTTTACTTTTCAATTTTTTTTTTTTGTTTTTGTTTTTTGTTTTTCTCCTCTTTCCCATTTTCTCTTTTTATGGCCCTTGAGAAAGTAAACTTTTGCAGCACACAATGAAGCAATGGAAGACACTCCATACAACAAAATTAAACTTTATATAGTTTTATGGATGATTCTCATTTTCTTTGTATACAAAATGCTATTTATAATATTTTTAAAGTAATTAGGTTTGACTCATTGTTTTAAGTATTTAGGTTCAACTCATGTTTAGTCATCAGTACATAATACGCATGTGAATAATACAAAATTAAATGTCGTTCTAATAAGTAATAAAGATGTCTAATTATATAATTAAGAAGAAGTTTTAATGACTACATACTCCAATACTGCACATAATGACTCAGATGTTTCCCAAATAGAGTGAGAACTCGTAACGGTCATAACAGTTGTAACGGATATTAATTGATCACGCTCCTCTGACCTCATATGTTGACTTGAACCATAACCCAACGCTCCTAGGCCTACCCCGAGATTGGCATCCTTGCCATAGATTTGAGTTTATTCGACCTAAAACTATTCAATCGGGTCCAATATATACATTCATATTAAAAATATAGTTTTAGGACTCTCATGATGTTGTTAGCTAGTGTGTCTTTTCAATATATTTGCCCACGTGCGATGCACGGCATAAAATTTAACTTATTGTTAATAATATTTTTAAAGAACGATAAAATCAAACATGAATCATGAAAATTCATCCTAAATATATGTTTCTTTTAGAGCAAATTACACTTTTGATCCTATGACTATAAGGGGCGTGTTAATTTCAATACTTGACTTTAGAAACTAACAATTTAGCCCTGTAACTATGTAATTTCTAACACATTTGGTCCTTCCGGCCAAATCACGGGCAAAATTTGACCGGAAAAACCAAACCCATTTTAAATTAAATATAAGTGGGGGCAAAATGGTCATTTCAGTCCAACACCAATAAATTAGTGCTCAGCCGTCGCCAAAACCCGTGAAATCCAGCTGCCTCGCAAGCTTCTTTGTTGGAACATCCGTGGACGCAAGTACCGGCGCCGCAGCCACTGTCAAAGCCACCTCCGGTTGTGACCTCTTTGGAGGGAAATCCCCTCAATCACTTTTCTCCTTTCAAAACGATAATAAATCGTCACAGAGAAAATAAATAAATAAATACACAGATTAAATTAAATAACACCCCACACATTCCCCACTCCGAAACTCCCAGAAATTCAACAAATTCCCAATTCCAAAACAGTATTTGGAGCAATAATTTATTGGTGTTGGACTAAAATGACCGTTTTGCCCTCACTTATATTTAATTTAAAATGGGTTTGGTTTTTTCGGCCAAATTTCGCCGGTGATTTGGCCGGAATGACCAAATGTGTTAGAAATTGCATAGTTACAGGACTAAATTGTTAGTTTTTAAAGTCAAGTACTGAAATTAACACGTCCCCTATAGTCATAGGACCAAAAGTGTAATTTGCTCATTTCTTTTATAATATTAAATTGGTTGGTATATTAAATAGATTTCAAAATTTATTTATACATGAATAATAATTTCTAAAGGTTGCATCTTATTTTTGAATTTGATAAATATATAAATTTACATATTTATTATGTCATTTTTTAATAAATTAAATTTAAAAAAATCACAAAAATATATTTATATGTTAAGTAATACGAAGTAAGTTTTAATAGTTTCATATAATTTGTTGAATTAATAAATTCAAAAAAATATTAATATTTCTGTGGACTCTTGTTTAGCAGTTTAGAGTAGCACAAAAATATATTTATACGTTGATTAATATTTCTTTTCTTTTTTTAATGTTTTAATTAATTAAATTTTGAATTTAAAAATTATTAATCACACCTCATAAATGAAGTTTGATCAAAATGGTGTAAATAGCAAAATAAAACCTCATTTAACTATTTACACCACTTATGTAATTATTGAAATACCAGGACTATGTGGTCTAATGGTATCCGGGTTAGACTTCCATTTGGAAGGTTGTAAGTTCGAGCCTCAATGGAGGCATTATTAGCTCTCTGTGTGAGAAAGTATATGAATTGATAATTACAATGTTAATAGAGCTAGTAGCATTCAAAAAATGTAATTATTGAAAGTTTCACCTTTATACAATTTCAATGATATTTTATACTATTTTTGACCAAAGGATGGTGCAAATAACAACACCCATTCAAGTTATAGCTGGTTTGGTAAATTATGTTCGCTTTTATACTTGTATAAATCTTAAAATGTAAAATTTAATAACTTTAAAAAAAAAAAACAAGGTTGTGGAGAGAGAGAGAGAGCACCATGTTTGTCTAAAAATCTAAAGACCACAATCATAGTAAAATTGAATTTAATTACATTTTTTTTACATATTTAAAATGATTAACTATTTTTTGTTAATTATATAGACTAATTGCACTCTTTATTCAACTTTTGAGTTTATTTAACTCTTTTAAAAATTCGATTTAGCTTTACCGGGCACTTAAATTGAGCATGAGTTTTAGTATGTATATATATATTATTCCCACTATAGAATATGTTGTTTAATCAATGAATAGGTTTTGATAAATGACCTACTTTTTTTCTTTCATTTTTACCGATCAATATATTTTTTCACATGACAAGAGTATTTAGTTTTAACCTCACACACACACATAATACTCAGTAATAAAATATTGAGTTAATTTTATTTTTGGTCTTAGATTTATAAATGAGAGTCCACTTTTAGTTATTTTTTATTAGAACATCTTCATTTAGTCTTAGTATTATTGTGACATGACCATTTTTAGTCTTAAAGTGGATTTTTACCTATAAATCTAGGACAAAAAATGGAATTAACTCTAAAATATTCAAATTTGATTCAATTGATGACAAATGGCCTTAAATTTGAGGTCAAATTTATTAAGTTGGAAAAAAAAAATCCCTATCCTACATAATCATTGGTAATTAAGAGGACCCATTATTTCCTTTTTTGGAATTTACTATATATTTATAAGATTTTTTTTTTCGGACATGTCTTACATTATTTTCCTTATTAGATTTTTTTTTTTTTTTTTGAAAACTCGTTATTAGAATTTAATTCAAAGGTAATCAAATTAAATCTAAATATTAGTTAGTGCCTAAATGAAACTTTATATGTTTTGCTTTAATTTGTCATTTATATTTATTATTTGAGGAAAAAAAATCATATATTCTTTGTTCTTTATCTTTAATTTTTTATATATCTAATTTTGTATACAATAATATTTTTATGTAAGATTTAAATACATAAATTGTATTTATTAAAAGTAAACTATTTTTTTTTTTAAAGTAAGTTAAGTGTAGTCACATTAGTTTAAGTTGATAGACAAAATAAGAAAAGGGAGAGTATCATCTTTTTAGTTTAGCTTTAGGGAAGTGGTGCACTAACGAGTAACAACTGCCAAACAATTGGCACTTTGATTATACAATGTTAGGATAGTAGTCCTTAAATAAAAAAGTTGATATATTTTAAATAATTAAAAAAAAAAGTTGATTCCTTCCTTGGTTAATCTAACCACCCCGTAAAATCAATAATTATTTCATGGATCAAAGGCGCATGTACTAACATATACTCAATACATCTATATTTTTCTCTTTAATTTTTTGTTTCAACTTAAATTTATGTTTTTTTTTTTCGTTTTGTACAAATCAAATTAATGTGTACAAATATATCATTAAAAAAATTTAATTTGAAATATTTAAAATAACACTTATATGTATTGATGGTTTTTTTTTTAATTGTTTAAAAATAAATTTGTAATAACACTTACATTACAGTTGGTTCATAAAGTCCTGATTATACGCACATAAGTTTAGTACCCTAGTGAATGATATAATTTGTCGTATAAAAGTATAAAACAATCCAAAAGTCTTACCTGTTGTTATCATACTATACCACCCTGGTCCTAGCTCTTGATGTTACCAATTAATTAAATTATATATGTTAAATGCGAAAACAGTAGGGGATTAAGGAATTAATTAATATATATTGCTAAATGTTAATTAATTAAAACCTTAGCTTGCATATTACTAATTAATCCAATCATTCTTGTATTCCATACATTTAATGGCGGGTGATGCAATCTATTCATTATGGGAAACTCTAATGGCACGTTTGGTTCGTGGGATAGACTGAAAATGTAATAACATTCTCAATAATAGATTTATTCTGTAAAAATTTATATTCCCAAGAACAATTAGATGCAACTACAAAAGTCCTACCTTCATCAACCACATAGAACCCAAACGAGCTGAGACTCACTGCTGAAAATTATGAAATTTCCGACCACCTGAAAGTAATCTTAAATCAAGTCAAAAATAAAAATTGGTCGGAAATAGCAACAAAGGTTTTTCCGGATACCAAAAGTGATCGGAACAAAGTTTTCGACTTGATTTAAGATCACTTTTAGATGGTCGGAAATTCCATAATTTCCAACAGTGACTCTCCTTGTTTCCGAACTAATCGCT